CCCCAAAACCCCAAAACCCCAAAACCCCAAAACCCCTTTTCTTAAGACAAACATTGAAAATTATTTCTTTTGCGCTTTCAGTAACTTTTGCGACCTCGAAGACACAAACTTCTTTGGTGATGTCTTTGCTGGCTTAGAGGATACATCACCAGGGCCGACTATTCTCATATCTGACATTTTAATCTCTTTCTTCTTACTAAGGTTCACTATGAAGTTATATATAAGACTTACATAACTTGGAGTACTCATCAAGAGTCTTTTCACTTGGGGTAGAAGATTCAAGCATTACTTTCGATTTTTCATTCAAAGTTTTGATTTCTTTGTACAAAGGGGTGTGCATCTTCTTCATAAACTCTCCTTCTGTTGTTTTCAGGTTATCCAAAGCATTTGTTTGTAACTGCTTCTTCTTTCTATTTTTCAATATAATTTGTAAAATCGTCATTTTGGAACAACACTTTTCTCTTAGGTTTCTGTTTTGATTTTTGATCCCATTTGGGAGCTTTGAACTTAGAAAAATCTATGTAGAAGTTAGAGCTGGATAAAAGTTGCTTACTTTGAGGTTGGTTCTTTACTAATCCATTCTCAAACCCTTTGATCCTCTTCTGACGACTACTATTAACAAAATTACTTCTTAAGAAAGGCCTCTGGGACTTGATCATTTGAAGGTGTGTATCTTCCTCTTTCATTCGATGATACTTTCACTTTGAAGACTTCTGCCTATTTAGAAATTCAAGTCAGTCTTTTTCTGAGCAAATTGTATAATCTCTTGAAACCCCTACTGCCATAAAGTTAGTTTCATTGTCTACTTTTAAGGTGACGGGGATATATTTCCCCGATTCCATATTATTTAGGCATCTTCATAATGATAACGTATCCATGAAAGATTTCATCAGAGAACTTCTTGGCTGTTTCTCCAAATAACATTCAATTTACTATTTTATATCAATCCGGAGTGAATTTCATCATTCTGTAAACTTTTACTTTTTCAGGATCACTTTTCTCTAAAAATTTGAAGAAAACTTACCATTGAAGGTATTATTATTTAACTCTCTGGACAAGTCTTGGGTTATACGTCTGCAGATCGCTAAGCTTGAATCTAATGAATTGTACTCCCTTCTTATTTGTCTTAAATGAAGTACTTAGTCTTTCTTTTTCAACAACAACTCCCATTATGAATACATCCTTCAGTACAGGCTCATCTGTCTTGTTCATTATCTCATTATATTCAAGCTGCTCAATATTCTGAAGTGGGCAGAATTCAAGCTGTCTGCTTAACCTAGTGATTCGGGTTTGAGGCATAAGCCTAGTATCAGCTTTAATTCATATCCCTGCTATAGGATCTTCTTCTAATTCTGCCCTCTTCAGCTCATCATTAGCTTTCTTAATTCTACTCTCTTGTTTTAGTTGCTCTAACTTCTGCTTGACCTCTTCCTTTAAAATCTGGGTTTCTTCTACATTCTCTGCTCCAAATACCTCCTCTGGTTCTTCCTCTTCCTGTTGTGAGTACTCAGCTTGTTTCTGGCTTTCCTTACCCTCTTCCTGTTCCTCTTGTCTCTCTTTCTGTTCTTCAGCTTGTAGCTGGTTGGATTTGTCACTGGCGACATCTACAGATGAACTAGAACTCATATTTTCTTTATCTTCTTCTTTAGGTGTCAGAATTTGGGCGGTTTTGGTTTCCTCCATTTTTGTGAGAGGTTTAAATTTTCAAAGATTTAGGAGGATTTTGGGGTTTTGGGGTTTTGGGGTTTTGGGGTTTTGGGG